AAATAAGAGGGCCACTTCAGCATGTTAAATTTTGGCTTTTATACTGTCCCCTGGTTTTTCTCTGCCAGTTCCCCAACTCTTCAAGCCACTATTGCTTTACTTGGATTTAGCTGTGCTACTATTCTGCTGGCTGTTGTTGTCTCTGTCTTCCTCTGAGCATGTACAATGGCTGCACATGGGCAGATCATGGCAAATTTTCCAGGGCTCATCTGGGACATACTCCATGCAAAAGTATGTTTTACAAATACAGAAATTCTTGGCCCTTGTGGCGGGGAGAGCCCACTCTAGTTGCTTTCTTCAAGGGTATTGCTGCAGTCACTCTAACCAAGGAGGCATAGAATTTACTTCATGCTTCCCAGGCGGTGGCTCAAAAGCCACTAGAACTGCCGATTGTTTGGTTATAGGCTGCAGAGAGAACATTGGATTGGGTGAGAGAGGTAGGGCAAAAAAGTAAAACAAAATCACTGCTGTTTTTCTTGCATTCCAAATGGCTTGGTTAAACTGTTGCTCTTCCTCTTTTATAGTTTCCAAATGCATTCCGTAGGGACACTTTATTTTGTTACTGCTATTATACAATTGTATTACTACTTCTAATAGCAGCTAGTATTTTAAATCGCTTTTTGAGCATGCAAAGAACTTATCCTATTGGCTTCGTAATCCTGACAGCAACAAAATAAATACAATTGGTTCCATTTTGTAGAACAGATGTGGGCATGCAGCTGAGCACTGGTGCATTAGCTGATTTAGACTCTGGATTTAACTGTCTCAGGGTGGGTAGTATAGAGGGCAATGTGTATTACTTCATTCACTTCAAAATGTATATAGTTTGCTTCCTTGTACAGTCTCTGTGAGCCTTGGCTATGGCAACTCTCTGTGCTCAGAAATGGGCATTTGCAATATTTTTGTTGTTGTTGACTTGTTTACATGATTTTTGTGTACCTTGCATATATTACAGATCTCAGAGTCTGGAAAGCTTCCCAGCTCTGAAATGAGTTCTTGCTGTTTTTGCCTGATTTTTGTTGCTGCTGAAAATTTAGTTAATTAGTGATTTAGTGATTTTGGTGCTTCAGGCAGGATGCTGAATTGTGGATCTGCATTCTTGGGGAATCAACACCTACTGAATGCTTATGTATAGTTAGGGAATTTGCAGGGAAGGTAGGCAGGGAAGAAAACAGGGCTATTTGGCTCTGTCTATAGGGACAGGGACTCCCTCCCGCCAAGACTACCTTGTATTTCACCAGTCCCAATAGATTTATGAGTTACCATTGAAGACTGCTGTTGCCATCAATAACAGACTTCCAAAGACATCAAATGATCCTGAATTATCTATTGAAAACAAAATTTGTATATACAGCAGACTATGCTGCATTAATTATGGGGTAAAGAAGTCTGTATTTCAGAAAGGGAAAACACACAAGAGTTATGCAGGGTTCTCCAAATACCTGCTTTTTTCCAAGTTCAACAATAAATTTATCCATTATAAGATAAAAAGATATTGGCCTGTATCCAATGGGGCACATATGCACCTACTGATTCTCCTGCATCCTGCTCATTTCACTGTGAAAGCAGCCTCCATCTTGCTCACAATGGCCATTTAACAATTATGGGGTATCTTTACATAAGAAGAAATGCTCCTTTTTTGAGGTTGAGTGAAGCTTGCATAAGGAAGATCTCCTGACATGTTTTCTTCCAGAAACAAATGTTTCTACTCATTCCAGGGCTTCCTGTAGCAAGGGTTAAGTTTCTGTTGTGTAAGTGATGAGTTTCACTTGCCCAACAGAATTAGTGAGACCCACCACTTGTGAAAGTATATTAGTGCGGCAGAAGAGAAGTGTCTTTGGAATTTAGCAGTGGAATTTGGCACTGGAATTTGTCACTGCCACACTACCCCAAAGGAGTATTATCCATGCCAAATTCATAAAAAATAAACCAATGCACAGTCATTTCCATTGTATAGGTAGCTAATTGGCTAATGCTTAGGCAAGGCTTTTTGAGCTAAGTCTTGCCAAATATTGTAGCATGTGTGTGCGCGTGCATGTGTGGTGATCTGGCAACTCTTTTGGATCCTTGTAGGTATCTTGCAGGTTAGATTCTTTCTCTAGGGCTGTGCCCCACTACTTCAAAGTCATACACCACCCTTGTGTACACCACCCTTGTGTACAGATCTATAATTTTAAGGTCCTATGCAGTGCGAATAGTTATCTATAGGTCTATCTTTGTAGTTTATGAGAGTGCCTAGGGCCTGATAAGAAATTAATCTGGTCCTGGTTCTAGGTCTACGCATTAAGCTGTCTCCAGCACTGGCCTGAAATATACAGTTGAAGTCCAATACATCCATAGTAGTTTCTAACAACCTGGCAAATTGGATAAATGCTGAGATTCCTTGAAATCAATAGATTTATTTCTAACATATGGATTTAGTACTGTGATACAAAACTGTGTGACTGCTCCTGGAAAGGGGCTTGCTAGTATTCAGGTGCCTGTACAGTATTTTTTGCTCCCAACCATTTAAAATGTGAGCAATATGCCAACACAGTGTTTAAAGTGCTTTCATGTACGAAACAATAACTGAATTCAATATCTGCAAAAAGACTTCCTAAATTTGGCAATGAATACACATTTTTCCAAGCAGTAAGTTCTTTTCTTTTTAATCTGTTTTCTTTGCTAATGATTTGTTCTGCTCTCTTTTCTCTCCTTTGACTAAAGTTGACATATATTTTGTTTTGATAAGTAATGCCATATAGGAAATACTTGGAATCGTTAATAAAGAGAATGAGAGAGAAAGGACTGATAAGCCAGATAGTCTGCTAAGACACCATAGAATTTTCACTGGCATATCTAGCACTGTCTGGCTTGATTTATAATTCATACCAAAGCCCTTACCATATTGTATTACTTAACAGCAAATATAGCATAGGGAGAGAAAAATCAACAGCTTAATGAAAGTGACCAGAACGAATCCTTAGCAGCAAAACTGTTTGAATCAATTTGAAATTTTATGAAATAAGCTGAGTTCAGAAGGTCTAGTTTGAAGTAACTGTTACAGATATTTTAAAAATATTGTTCTTGGTTGCATACTGAAATATTTATTCTAAATATTGAATGTACATTTTTATAATTTTCAGAAATAAATTATCATACACAGAATGATAAAACTCAGTGAAAAGATTGCAAATGAAGGCTTCTGTAAACAACACCAGTTATGCTCTGCACTGTGAAGCTATTAACACAGCAGAGAATCAGGCTCAGAGGAAGTACATTGTCTGAGCCAAATTCCCCCACCTTTCATAATTCTTTGGTTAGTAAACAGGCAGCCAAAATGATATTTTGGTAAAAGGAAGTTTGTATTTGAGGATGTACCTTTAGACTTGAGAAAGAAAGAATTAGAACTGGATTTCATGGGATTTCTATTTATATCTAAATTTAAACTACAGAGTCTGCCTTTTTATAGTTCCAAGTACAATGAATGCCTGATTTAGAATTGCAGCTTCTTATATTAGCAGGAAGAAGTTAAAACTGTAGTAGTACTTTATATCACTATGAAAATATGATTTGGAAAATTGCTCTCCCAAGCATTGCAATCTGAAGTATTTTCAATGTGCATAGGATTGCTAAATGCCATCAGCAATAAGGCTAGGAAAGAAAGACAGAACGAACGAACATTTGGACTTGTCTTCCATGAACTTTAGGTCCAAATGCCACAGGGCAAGGTGTTTTTTCTTTTCTTTTTTTCTTTGAAACTGAGAGGATTTTCATTAAAGTGTTCATTTTTGGTTCATATTAAAATGAAAGGGGAAAAAAGAATATCCATATTAACAAAAACACTGGGGAACAATTACTTCAGTATACCTAAACAGCTGTCTGGACTGCAGTTTATGAACCAAATTGTGTCTAACAAACTTAAATATAATAAATAGAAAATCAACCAAGTAATATTACAAAGCTTTCTCCTTTATTTATTGGTAAGCGTTTGATTAACTATCAACCTTTTTTCTTTCCACCTTTTGAATACTGAAATATTTTGAATTCCTTTTTCTGGAAAACTGTGCCGTCCCACAACAATTTCTATGTTAAAATAGCTTTTAATACTGGTCTTCTGATTAACAACTCCCTGATTCTTGAATTCAGCATTCAACTTGCTCCTATAGATTTCTGTTGATTTATTTATGTTACACTTGAGTTATATTATGCTGCATAACATTTCTATGAAGGTAGAATAATTTCAAGTAGTTTTCACTGAATGTTCACTGATGCTTCACTGGTGTGGTAGTGTTTTGCCCCAACTTCACAACTTATATGTTGACACAGCCAATCTTAGTACTAGATTTAACAATGTATAACTAATTGGATGCCCTCCCCTCCAATGTTCAGGTCATTCTTTTTAATATTTAAAGGTTAAAATAATTAAAATATGTAGGAGATGCTTGCTTTAAATTGAAGCTTCAATTTATTTACATAATTTATATCTTACCTTTCTGCCCAATTATGGCATTTAATTCCTAAGTGTATGCAAACATGCCATTCATTTTGGCAAATGCTACCAGTGAATAAGTAGTTTCAGGACTGGAGCTAAGAACTAGACAAATACCTGTCTTTAGGAAATTGAACTTCAAAGAACTAATTATGGCCTACAAGAACGAGTAATTAAATTACGAGATTTAAACAAAATTTCTGATGATTCTATTTTTTCAGTCGCATAGAGTAACACACAATGCTCATTCTCTCTTTATATATCTGCATATTACCTACACAGATATATATCCATAAACACGCATGTACACATTTTATATGTTTTTACATTATGTGTGGACGTACATACACAATTTTAAATATCCATAGGCATACATTTTATAAACATGTGCCATAACATTCCAAGTAAGAACTGAGCCAAAGTAAAGGCTCAATCATGCTTGTTGTATGAAGAATGCAATGTGATGCTTAACTCCATCAGGTGATTTGAGTTTTATCTAACTGATTATTAAAAGAAAAGCACAACTTACTTGAAGATCCTGGAGAGTGTCTGTGTGGCTGATTATTTTTTTCTCTGTTCTGAGTCAAAGTACTTCCACTGGTCATGGAAACAAGCTCTAAATCCGTGTCTTCTCTCCTTACAGGGCTTGTCTGGAAGCAGTGAGAGAGAATGTACACAATCAAGAAACAAAATATGACATTTTCTGAATGCAGCTCACATTACTCTCAAATAAACAAGCCAGCTCTGTCAAACAATCTTCTTCAGAATGATCCCACAATCCTTTATTGCTGCCCAGTCTGAACAAATGCACTATGTCAAAGCATTTTAGTAAATAGGAGGCGATCTTAAAATTGTGGTTTGTGATCAGAATCAGTACAGCAACAAAAGACAACATTTTAGTACAGTAATTTTGAAGAAAATAAATCTTGCAGACAACTGATGAAACCTTAAACAGCTTAAGATCATTTACTGAGCAGTCTATAATTTAAAGTTGGAGCTGAATGCCAGAAATGTTATATTTGATCATTTTTTGCCATATTTGTGCTTAATCCAAAACAAGTATCAGTTCTACTAGTCAGACATCTAGTAAGTAATTTCATCTTTGCTACCTAACCAAACCTTTAGAAGGGGTCACATCTCTAGCCTGCGTAAAATAATTATATTAAAATGTAACATATTGATGGATTTCAAAGAATTGAGAAAATGTTCTTTCATGTCTGTATGATTTTAGTCTAAGAGTAGAGACCAAATAGCAGAACAAAATGGATTCAGCAAATGCCCCTATTTGAAGAAAAATCTTTCTTACACTATCTTCCTGATATTTGTATATTATAAATACTGGTATTGTAATATTAAACACAATTATGTGTGAGGCAATTATTTAAGTTTTTATATATTTCATCTACAGATCATAGCCTTTGAAACTGAAATGTATAGGCTAATTTGGTTTTGTGCTTGAAAGGGTGTTTTTTGTGAATATATTATTTATTTCTTTAAAACATTTCTATACTGTTCCATTAGCACAGCACTCCCAGATCAGTGTACAGAATGATGCTTATGAAATGGAAAAATCATATATTAAATGACAACTTATATGTACGAATAGTTACAGTGAAATCAGATGGTACAGCGTGAAAAAATTAAGCACCTTTACATCTCATTCATGTAGGACATAAGGGTATAATTAAATGTGTGTATCAGTCTTGGTGAATGGGCCAAATGTCTTCAACTTCTGAACTG